ACTGGCCCTTCAGTACGAGATATCCACAGCAGAACATCAGAGATATGACTACAGCACCAATATGGCAAAAGCACAACTACTGGTCAATTAATCAGCTGATATTTGGCCAAGGTTGGCAGCATCAGCTGATAACCATGTTCACTTGGTCTATTAACAATCATGCACTTAACAAGTGTTTGTCTCCCTACTTTGTCAATTCCAAATTCTACTGACAGCTCTGTCAGTGGATAGTAAATATTTCTGTTTGTTTGTTTTAATATTTATTTATCTTAATTTGTTATTTTAAATCATTTGTAATTAATGTATTCATCATTTATGCATATTTATTTATTTAAATATATGTATATTTATCTGTATACAATTTATTTATATTTATTTTGATATATACAGTATGTATTAGTCTATACAATTGTATTTTTCCATTTATCTCTAAAGTTGTACATGTTTACAATTTATTATAATTGTATAATAATGTTTGTAATTTATTTATATTATAATTTATCATACATTTTATAAAATCTTTTATCATTTATTAACATATTCATCAGTTATGTATATTTATGTCACAATTTGGTCCACCAAGGATGACAACGTGAAGGAATAAGTTCCAATAGTAGAGATCATTTTAATTAAACCGCACTAAAGACGAGTAGCGAAGCAACAGTGTGTACTAAAGCAACCAACACCAGACAATGAACAGAAAGAACTGAAGGGCTTAAATACACAGGCAAACAAACTCAATACAAAAAGATGTGCTCTAATTAGTGACAATGTATAACCATGACAACTGATAAGCAGGAACATAGGAACAAGGAAACAAGGAGAAACAAACTAAAAGTCCAAACAGTGTAATTTCCTGTTTTGATGGGGATGAAAAAAAAAGTTATTTATATCCGCAGCGGATAAACTCTTCAAGATGGCATGGTGCCTCTTTCACACAGCTGATGTAAAACAGAGAAATCCTCACAGTGCCTCATATGCTGGAGATCTATTCTGCCATTTGTTTTAATTTGAAAAAATCTGCATATTAGACTTCTTTAGGATTTAAGTGTGCTTTCATTTCAAAATCTGTTTGAGTTCTGGCTGTCCACATCCCATCTGTGGCATACGGACGGTTCCCATAATCCCTCGCTGGCACCGAGGCCCTGCCATGCATGGTGCTGTTCATTTAAAATAGGTGCATATTTTACAAAAGCATTTAGCACATTAAACTGTTGACCCTGAGGGTGAGTGTGATTGGTTAAGGGGCTTTGACAAGCTGCAATCATTGATCACATCATCAGATTACCACGATGAAGCTTTGAGACTCTGAAGACCTTTGTAGACTGTCACTTAACTGATCAAGGCTTTACAGAGAGTCATTTTTGTTTCCGAAGTATGTGATTTGCCATTGAAGTCATTGTCTGCTGACTGATTATTCCTCCCAAGGTGACTTGATTCTCCTGCATGGATTTGTGTAGTTTCCTGCAGTTTTTTGCTCTATTCTCATGCAAGAGTGTTTGTCAGGTTACTCTTAATTTTTCTGACAACCTTTTTATCTCACTACGAGTTCAGTGAGGCAGTGTCTTGTTGTATGTGTGTGTGGGATTGTGTTCATTTGGCCACTGTATTGGAATAAATGGTCTAGTTGTTCGTTTAGCCAACTTCTTTAGGATTTAAGTGTGCTTTCATTTCAAAATCTGTTTGAGTTCTGGCTGTCCACATCCCATCTGTGGCATACGGACGGTTCCCATAATCCCTCGCTGGCACCGAGGCCCTGCCATGCATGGTGCTGTTCATTTAAAATAGGTGCATATTTTACAAAAGCATTTAGCACATTAAACTGTTGACCCTGAGGGTGAGTGTGATTGGTTAAGGGGCTTTGACAAGCTGCAATCATTGATCACATCATCAGATTACCACGATGAAGCTTTGAGACTCTGAAGACCTTTGTAGACTGTCACTTAACTGATCAAGGCTTTACAGAGAGTCATTTTTGTTTCCGAAGTATGTGATTTGCCATTGAAGTCATTGTCTGCTGACTGATTATTCCTCCCAAGGTGACTTGATTCTCCTGCATGGATTTGTGTAGTTTCCTGCAGTTTTTTGCTCTATTCTCATGCAAGAGTGTTTGTCAGGTTACTCTTAATTTTTCTGACAACCTTTTTATCTCACTACGAGTTCAGTGAGGCAGTGTCTTGTTGTATGTGTGTGTGGGATTGTGTTCATTTGGCCACTGTATTGGAATAAATGGTCTAGTTGTTCGTTTAGCCATCTGGAATGGATGTGACTCAGCTGTGCTTTACGAACTTTTAATCTAATTTCCGGATCCGGTCTGTATATGGCCATTCATATGACACAACCAACTGCATCAACATATCCCATTCCTGAACAGATAATAGATTGATTCATATACAGTGTGTGTTCATGTAGTTTGTCATTTGACAGATGATTACTGCGTATAGCCCTCAGAGATCTCTCTGTCTTTCTTTTTTCTCTGTAAGAATGATAAATGATTGCATTATTCTTCTTACTCTGGACACAGATGGCAAGGACCCGTGTAATCAACTACGCACACATGCACATGTCCATGCGCAGTTATTTATGAGTAAAGATTATGCATTATGCATTAAATCAGATCAGATTTTTGTGTGTGTATTCAAGTAACTTACTTGCTGTCATTGAATTGTATTATAATCATATCGGTAATCAGCCATTTATTTATATATACAGTTTTTTTTTATAAATATTTATTTTTATCATTTAAATAATTGTATAAGTTGTATACATTTATAGTTGTGTTTATAGTGTATTTATATTAGAATGTATAATTTTCAATCCTTTAATTTTTTTTTATTTTTATGTATTTATATTTATCCATAAAGTTTGTTATATAAAATGTATATAATTTTTTATAATGTATTATAGGTATAATCAAGAAGCGTACCTTTGCAATGGAACAGATGTCAAATATTAATTCATGAACATTCAAAAATATAAATGTTTAGTGTGTTTTCATTTTCAGTAGAAACGATTTGGTGGTTGTTACTCGTGCAAAACCAAAGCAATGCTAGGATGTGCTGGTTGGTTGCAAGGACATTGATAAGTGGTTAGTACAGTAGAATGTTCTAGGTGGTTTCATACTGGTGCAAGAGAGTCAAAAGAGTGCAAAGCTTACTGACAAATTTTAAATGCTTTTGGTTCGGTCTGTGTTCAAATCCCTGTAGGCAATAATAATACCAGTGCTTATATATGTGCTTATATATCACCCTCTTTCTCTCTCCTGTGGATTTGATCTGTGCGTCCTTCCTTGCCTTCAAGTCATTAAAATGCTAATGCATGCTTTAACTTCTCAATTCTGTGGTGACAGAGTAGGACACAGAGTCAGTAGATGTAACTCTCGCTTTTCTCTCTCTCTCTCTCTCTCTCTCTCTCTATCTCTCCCTCTCTCTCCTTTCTTTTGAAATGTAATCAATTATCAATATACTGTAATGTAATTATTAATCACATTAGTCTGAGTGAAGCGACTAAAGTGTGAGCATAACAGGCAGATTTTTAGACTTAGTTATGGAATTGTGAATTAAGAACTGTTTTGTTAAAAGAGCTCAGTAATTTTTTTAAAGCAAGTTTTCCTATTTGCTATCAACTTTTATCTATTGTTGTAGTTTGATTTGTATTATCATTTATCATTTTTCTATTCTATAATTTAGTATAAATTATTTGTAATTTATTAATTTATTATTTATGTGATTATATTTATTTTTATATTTATATACATTTATTTCTTCAGATTTACTGTATGTTTCATTTCAGATATTGTAGGTCAAATTTTCTTCATCATTTTAGTTTATAATATAGTTTTTTCTGCACCAATTGCAGTCATAATTTAGTTTTTCATGACCATTTTTCATCATCTCTCTCTGATCCTTTGTCTCTTGTCAGAAGGAGAGCAAGTCATATGCAACATAGGGGTAATAATGTTGGGTAGCATACCACATTTTACTCGTATTATTAGTTTGAACTGTATCTATAAGTATTAGTATATATCCAGCTTTCACCTTTTTACCTAACTGTAAACATCACCAAAAATGTGGTCAGTATAAATGTATGCGGTTGTACATAATATAATACAATATTCATCTGCCATTCCTTTTTTGGGCTGAAAGAAAGTTGAGTTTTACAATATGTTTTCATAGTACACTGAACCTGTTTATTTCAAAACTTTCATTTATCATAATATGACTCCTTTAAACACACTCGTGACACTTCGCAGACTTGTCACATGAAGAGAGGACTGAAGAAGAGCAGACATGTACAGAAGGAATACTTGAGTGTGACACAGGAAGGAGTGGAGACAGGGGACGGAAGAAAAAGACAGAGGAAATATGCATTAGTAATCAGACCAGAGCACGTGGGTCACTGAGTTTATTAAGAAAAGGGGGAGACAGAGAGGAAGACATGTTGAATTCAATAACACTGAGAGCAAAGTGTAATTCAATAACTGCTCTAACACAATTTCTAATGTATCAAGGAAAGAAATGCATGTGTTTGACTGTTTGTTCTTGCCAGAAAATGTTTGTAAGATTCATTATTTGTAAGATTCTCGGGGTGTGTTTGTGTATGAACGTGAATATGTGTATATGTGTGTCAGCAGATTGGTCTTCTGTAGGGGAGCAGTGCATTGATTTCCAGCCCAAAGTCCAATCACATAAATCTAGTCTGGCTTGAGACACCAGCCCTATTAGCCAGAACCTCTGACTGGATTAATGAGACCACATTCTCTCTCACACACACACACACACACACACACACACACAAATATACAGTTGACCTTGCCTGTGCATTTAATTAAGATTTTCTGCATTTTTGCACATAAACAAACACCCACATTGTCACAGACGGCTGATTAGAGACATGTGATCGGCTCTGAAATGCAATGCAAATATGATTAACGGCATTGAAAATGATAAATATGGTAGTTACGATGATTAATGTCAATTTGTGTCATGTTTGTCTTTCAGAGACGAGAGAGGACCGAAACAAGAGGCTGTTCAGACATTACACTGTGGGCTCCTATGACAACTTTACCTCATATAGGTAATGTATATACAGTATGTGTGCATGCATAAATAATAATATGGGCATTTTGGTTATCAGTAGTTCAAGCCTAACCTGTGAAGTCTGTTATTTGAAGTATTGAGTCACTACTGCCATCTAGAGGATAGAGGTTGTGAACACACATTACCTCAGGTTTTTGTTTTTTGCGGCTCATATTTGTGACCCTGGACCACAAAACCAGTCATAAGGGTAAAATGCATGTGTTTGACTGTTTGTTCTTGCCAGAAAATGTTTGTAAGATTCATTATTTGTAAGATTCTCGGGGTGTGTTTGTGTATGAACGTGAATATGTGTATATGTGTGTCAGCAGATTGGTCTTCTGTAGGGGAGCAGTGCATTGATTTCCAGCCCAAAGTCCAATCACATAAATCTAGTCTGGCTTGAGACACCAGCCCTATTAGCCAGAACCTCTGACTGGATTAATGAGACCAAATTGAGATTTTACATCATCTGAAAGCTGAATAAATAAGCTTTCCATTTATGTATGATTACATCAATAATTCTGTATGATGTATGTTAGGATAGGACAATATTTGGCCGAGATACAACTATTTGAAAATCTGTAATATGAAGGTGCAAAAAAAAGCAAATCAGCGGAGAAAATCACCTTTAAAGTTGTCCCAATTAAGTTCTTAGCAATGCATATTACTAATCAAAAATTAAGTTTTGATATATTTATGGTAGGAAATTTACAAAATATCTTCATGGAACATGATCTTTACTTAATATCCTAATGATTTTTGGCATAAAAGAAAAATCGATAATTTTGACCCATACAATGTTTTTTTGGCTATTGCTACAAATATACCCCAGTGACTTAAGACTGGTTTTGTGCTCCGGGGTCACATTTTTAATTTAAACACACATTTAGTCCTCATTTCACATTTGATTGCATGCAACATATTTCCTTTTGTTTCTGTTTGTTTTAGAGTAAAAAATAAATGCTTAAGTACTCGATTCCCTTGAGAACGGAGAACTACATTAAATTTTACAGCTGAGTGTAATAAAAAACAGTCAGCGCATGCTATTAAAGAAGAGGTCATGTTTTACATTATGCGCAATGTTACAGTGTAATTGGATATGCAAAGCTATTTGTGAATAATATCTACTGTGTTTCAAGGGATGGTCAAATTAGATTATATGAATGCAGTTAATTCTGTCTCACCAATAAATATGAGCAACAAGATATGATGTCATATGCTTTAATATAATAAATAACAAAATAAATGTATTTTCTATATTTTATACATCATTTTATAATATTATTTTATGCATTTACTTTATTCAAAATTAATACATTTTGGTATCTACTACAATTTCTCACAACATTGCACAAACAGCTTTTCGTTATAAGTTTCTATAGTTTTATACTACAAAAGTAGTAAAGGTTTGTATATTGTAAACTTATATTGTTGCAAAACTGTGGAAATGATTTGATTTACACCCAAGAAGCCAAATGAAGACGTAAAATGTCTTTCCACTGTACAAAGTTGTAGGTCAGAGTTCATCATGTTGAAAAAAACAAAAAAAATCACCATGTTTGAACTCTATGCAGCTATAGACCTTAATCAGGCTAGTGCATATTTCATTTTGGAGATTCTACTAGTTCTGCCTAGTGTGACCGCAACACATAAGCTAGTTTTTGTTGCTGCGATTGTAATTCTGTTGATTCTGCATGTGTAATATATTTAACACTGTAATGAAAAGTGTTTTCGAAATTTAAGACTGATTGATGAGATGGGATGAATATTTGTGGAATCGAGTAAGAGAGAGAGAGAGAGAGAACCAGAGAGGATTAATTACTGGAGTCTCTCTGTCAAACTGATACTTCTCACTCCATTCAACAACAGCAAACAGGTCTAGAACAGCAGCCTAAAGAACTGCACCCAGTCAAATCAATTACCTTCTGAAATGGACTCGAAACATACAAGACAAATGATGTTAAAATCATCAGATATGAATGAATGACCATCACTTTACTGAAATCCTTTGTAGGGGCTCCCAACTCAAGATGCGTTTAGACTAGCAGTGATTAAACTGTTGGAAGTTGCCAAGATGGAACTCCAAATTCACTGTACTTTTAAGGTACACTGTACTTTTTAAGTTTAAAATCAAATTAATTGTAAATCTACTATTACATTTAAAATGCAAATATTAGCATGCGAGTACGCCAAACTGTGTTCAGCTAATATGAGAAGTCTGCTAATCAGTTAAATGTTAGCATGTGAACTACATTAAATCTATTAACAGATATGATATTAAATCTTTTTAATATTGTATATATTAGCACATCAGTGCCAAACTACATTCAGCTATAATCATAGATTTAAACTGTAAATGTTAGCATGTAAGTATGCCAAACTATGTTCCGCTAAGTCTGTTAATTCAGCAGGAGTTAGCACACATTGACCTAGCTGTGAAAAGCTAGCACACAGACACAAAGCACACATTAACTGGCTGAAGTTAAAATGTGTGCTGTCAACTCCCTCTTCACTCTTCTCGCAAGTGTTCATTATATGTGAATGTCAGTCGCCGTACAGAGGTGTATCTTCATTGACATGGGAAAAAGTGGAGCTAACACACTCATGCACGTTCTCCTCGGCTCAGGAGATCATTTTAGGGAGTCGTGTGCACTACATTGACAAGAAGTCAGCGCTACAGGAAACCTTCTTCCTGAGGTCTAATTGCCATTATATTCATTTTCACACTTCATTATCTTATCATTAGGCGCTAGATTAGCTGAACTTGGCTGTGAGGGCTTTTGTAAGTTTATAACAAATATTTGAAATGTTTAATGCTTTTATATAATTGAAAAATTACATAAGGCATGAACCAACCCAGACAATGTACACACACACACACACACACATACGTATATATTGTGGTGGGAGGAGCAAACGACAGACACAGTGGGTGTGGCGTCAAGCCTCAGAGAGGCTTTTATTTAACAGAAAATAAAAAAAAAATTGTGGCCCGGGTGTGAGAGGCGGCGGCGGCTTCTGTCAGGAACCTGGTGAAGGGCGGCGATTAAAAAGACGGGGTGTCGATGATAATTAGGGGGAGGCAGCCATTCTGTCACTATATATATATTATATATATACAGTGGCTATAGAAAGAATCACCCCCTTTAAAATAATCACATTTTGTTGCTTTGCAGCCTGAAATGAAGACGGACACAGTTTTTATTTTATCCAGCTGTATTTACTCAGTGCAACTTATAACATCCAAGTGAAAGATATAACACCAACATGTCAGAAAAAACAGAATCACTGAGTTGGAAAAAGGATCAATCCCTTGTGTCAGTATTTTGTTGAACCAGCTTTTGCTTTGATTACAGCCTTTAGTCTGTTGGGATTGGTCTCTACTAACTTTGCACATCTAGACTTTGCAATATTTGCCCACTCTTCTTTGCAGAACTGCTCAAGTTCAGTTAAATTTTACTGTAGGAATGCTGTTATTTGGATGGTGAGCTGTATTGGATTTCCGCCAGACATAATGCAGACCTGCCAACCTGTACGCATTTTGCGTAGCATATACGCATTTTGACCTCAAAGTACGCTGGTACGATTAGTCACTCTAAACTACGCTCCGTACTGTTTACTCTGAAATACTGTATAACAGGAATATCACAAATTGAGTGCAGACCCTGATTATTAACCTATGAAAAATATATTTAACATTAAATCTTGCAATTTTTTCTCATGCACTCAGCCAGAAATCCCCACTTCAGTAGCACTTACATACACCATTGACTTTACAATTTTATTCCTATCTATATTCTAAAGGTTTTTACGGAGGGGTTTGTTCGGACGTTTTTGTCTCTATGCTGCATTCGGAGTTGGACACGGAAAGACTTTAAGGCCCTTATTTTTCTATCCTTTCATTTAAAAGCATAAGAGGCTGGATATTAGCATTTGGTCCAATCTCCTAATGCAGTTAAAGAGGCTGCGCTGGAGTCAAACAGAAGGACAGGAGCTTCCACCTGAGCTTTTTCATAGCGTCCACACACTCACATGCAGCCACTGCTTTTAACCTGATTGGCTCATCAGCGGAGCGGGAAAGGGATCAGGAAGAGTAGCTGTGTGGGGGTATGTCCAGGTGGTCCGGCCGTGGTGGTCCTGATACAGGCATGGTGCTGAAGTCTGACCTCACTGTCCTGCTCTCTCTTATGCTCAGTGATTACATCATCGAGGAGAAGAATGCTGTGCTCCAGAAGAAAGAGAATGAGGGATTCGGCTTCGTCTTGCGAGGAGCAAAAGGTAAGACATGACTGAGTTCATGGCCTCATTTTGCTCTTACAGTCAGAGTTGCAGCTTCTTTCACAAAACTGGGTAACATTACACTTAAAGAAAAAAATGTATTTGGGAATTGATTGCTTGTGAAAACTGACTAATCGGAATGGAGCCAGACTTGAATGCAATTTTACTACTATCAAGTTTAAATAGTTTTGTTTATGGGTTAATATTATCCAATAGCCTACTGTAAGTGGCCTCAAAGAGATCAGCTGAAAAAGAAAGTAATTTCATTTTGATGGAAGTGCATATTAAGACCAGGAGCATTGTTTATTATTTAATTAATTTATTCAATATAAAAATGTATATTATTGTTGTTGTTGTTGTCTAATTACCAACAGTTAATAATAGTTATTTTTATTAATAACAATCATTAAAATTATAAGGAATTATTATTATTATTATTATTGTTGTTGTGGTTAAGATTTTATTTTTAAAATGTATGTATGAAATTAGTTGTTATTATTATTATAACAACAATAAGTAACAATAGTTACAACTAGTTGTTATTATTTTTATTAATAATAATAATCTAAATCATTTAATATTAATCAACATATTAATTAATAATCATAATTGCCATCAATAAAAATAATAATAGAAATATTAGTATTAAATTCATTATTTAATAATAATAATAACAACAATAATAATAGTTGGCACTAAAGGATTAGAGAAACAGAAAAGATTTTTAGATTTAAGATCTAGTTGTGATTTAAAGAACGTATAGTATAATATATTATCAAGAACTTTTTCATCTTCATTGAATAACCAATTTAAGAAACCCTGTAAAAACCTAAACCTTGTAAGAACCATTGAACCAAAATGTAGTTTTTCTCTACAGTTAAAATGAATAATACTATGAAATAACATCCATCACACATCTACATTCATTTACATGAAATAATCACATAATAGTTCAAACTCATTGCATATCAGTAGTGCAACAGTGTGAGTGCTTTACAGATGCAGTTCGGTGACAGCATCAAATAGAGTTAAGTGAATAGGTGAACTTCATTACTTACATAATCAAATATCGCGGTCACTGGTTCATATTGTGACATTTCTGTAGCATATATGTTGACTCAACAGCATTATTAGACAGTTGTGTTTGACAACACATACGGATCAGCAGGGTTTGAAAAGTAGTGTGTGTGTGTGTGTGTGTGTGTGTGTGTGTGTGTTTTGAAACTTGCATTTTGCAAGATTTCTATCTTAATGACTGTCTACC